AAGTATGTGTATTTCTGTAAAATGATATAAATAGGTTGTCAGTTCAACAGTTCACAAGAAAGAAGGGAATAAATTATTGTTACAAATTAGCTTCTTGTCCTAGTGTTGTTGTTGTTGTTGTTGTTGTTGTTGTTGCAAAGGATGAGAAAAACTTGTGGTTGGTTACTACACACTTCAAGCACAGAGGAAATTTTGATGTATTATACTAGTATTAGAACACAGGTGATGATAGTCACAGCAAGATTAACCTATAAAGAGCATTTCTGCCAGGTAAACATCTGTAAAAAATTTACAAGTGCCATAATCTAATATCTGTGTTCCAATATCAAAGGAGCTTCCACAAAGAAGAAGGGTCAACCTGTTCTCTAAAGCACCTGACAGGACAAGAAGCAATAGATGGAAACTAATCAAGGAGATAAACAACCTAGAACTAAGGAGAAATTTCCTAAGAGCGAGAACAATTAATCAGTGGAACAACTTGCCTCCAGAAGTTTTGTGTGCTCCAACACCGGAGGTTTTCAGAAGAAATTGGACAACCATTTGTCTGAAATGGTGTAACAAAAGCACTTATATACCCCTTCAGAGTTCTTTGCAGTTGTGTCTAAGCAGTTTACAGAGTCAGCATATTTTCCCCAACAATCTGGGTCCTCATTTTACCACTCTGAGTCAGCTTTGAGTCCTTGAGTTGGTGAGATTCGAACTGCTGGCAGTCGACAGAATTAGTTTGAAATGCTGCATTCTAACCACTGTACCACCGCAGCTCTAGGGTTTCCTGCCTGAGCAGCAGTTGGACTAGAAGGCCTCCAAGGTCCCTGCCAACTCGGTTAGCCTGTTATTCTTTTTTTTCTTCACTTCTAAGGAAGTGAAGCTAAATCACTAATCAAATATAATTCCCAAGTCTTCAAGTTAAATGTCCTGTGCCAGAAATTGCAAATGTGGAGGTTCTATACAAAGGATTCATGGAAGCTGTAAATTTGGCCACAATTTGGAATGTAAGAGTTTGGAGATGGTGTAGCGGTACTTCTTTTAATAGCTGAAGTTACATGTACAGGAAAAAAAATACTTCATCCCGAGCCAGGTTCAAACAATATAGGACAATAAAGGTAGAGCTCTTGCCTCACAATCAGGAGGTTGTGAGTTCGATNTTAAGTGTTATTATACTTTCATTCATAATACAAATCTTATTAACTTGCAAAACTCAATTAATAAATCATAAAACTGCTATAAATAAAGTATTCTTCTTTTATTTCAACATAAGTTGGAAAAGAACACATTTTGCTGTCTTGGCTCCTCATAAATTTTCAGCTCAACTGTTATGATGATAATAACTGATATCATGAATTGGACAGTTGTTTGTGCAATGATATTGAAAGTCATCTTGATTTCCTATTAGAATTATTTTTGAGCCTGTACTAAATTCATATAGCAGTTTGTATCCTAAATATTGTTTTTAATTATTACTAACTAGGAATGACATAGATAACAGCTGCAAAGTTAGTCACTGTGGTATCTGAATTTGTTGATCTGACACAAAAGTTGCGTTATTTAATTCAGAGGACCATTTTTACACCCCTCCACTTCAAATAGGTTGTGATTGCTTTGTTAATACAACAGATCTAATACTTTTATGCAACTAAGCAGGTTTTCTTTTAAAAATAATTCATGGAGGTATAATTTTAGCTTATTGCAATGGAAAGCTTGGAAAGCAAATTCTACACAAGAAAATATTTTAAAGAATTGCCTATTACACTTTCCAATGGAAGTTATTCCAGAAACAGAAACTTTGAATGAAATGCATAAATCATTGGTGACCTGTTTATATTCTTACATTTTAGCACCGGCATTTTGTGACATCTATGGTAGTTCATAAGATCAACATTGAACAATACTATATATGGAATGACAGGAAATAGAATGGAGGAGAAATATTTTGCAAAGAATACACAGGCTATTAGATAAATATAATGTCTCTTTTCAGAGGCATTTAAAATAGTCAGGAAACAGCTTCTACCTGTATCAATGTGTCAGTTGATTTGCTATTAATTTTTAATGTGATATTTTAGATTATTCCATTTATTCTATAGTAGTTACATTCTGAATTTGGAAACATGCTAAATCTTTCTTTTCTTAATATGTTTCTATAATATCTGAATATATGTAGAACCGAACTGCTAATAGTATGGTAACTATTTTAATTCATTTCTTTTTTAATATGTTCAAAAACGTCTTTAGCCTTTCTATTAATGGTTGCTGCTTTATGATTTGATTATTTTAGCTGCAGCATCAGCATTAAATATGACATTGTACATTTCCTGCAATTCGATTCTGCTTTAAAACTTCTTCTTTACAAATAGTTGATTGGTAAATGTAGAAAGCATACAAATATTTAAACAGATGGAAAGAGATGAGTTAATAAATTGAAGGTTAGGGATCTGACTAAGTAGGATGAAGCAGGATAGAGCTGACAGGGACTTTGGAGGTCTTCCAATTCAACTCCCTGCTTAAGCAGGAGACCTTATACCAGTGTTTCTCAACCTTGGCGACTTTCAGTCCTGTGGACTTCAACTCCCAGAATCCCCCAGCCAGCATAGCTGGCTGGGGGAATTCTGGGAGTTGAAGTCCACAGGACTGAAAGTCGCCAAGGTTGAGAAACACTGCCCTATACCATAAGAGGCAGGTGGTTATCCAGTCTTTTCTTAAAAACCTCCAGTGATGAAGGTCATTACATTGTGTGAATTCATCTTAAAACTAGATAAACTATGTAGCATATCCCATACTGTTTCCTTAATTGGTCTAAATACTTTGATTGTAGTAGGAGCTGACTTTTTACTTGTCAAAATATTTTATCCTATTTTTTATAGCTTTGTCATAATTTATTTTTGAGTCATTATTAATATCCATTCCCTCTTAGGGATGTTGAAAAGGCACAAATAGGCATTATTCAACTTCCACAATATTTCTGTAAATGCAATTATATTGTATATTGTATTATATTTTGTGTAATCATTAAATTTGTTGAAAAACTGATTATGTGCCATTAAGTAGATGCCAACACTTAGTGACTATGTACAATATTTTTTTTTCCCATGAGAAAACCTGTTTTTTTATTTGTTCTCTTTTTCTCTTTCCTTCTATTTTCTCACAATTAGAACTTTCTCTTGGTCTTCACATTAATTGTGCTTCAAAGGAGAACTTTGGTTGATTTGTTCAATGATCCATTTGCTTGTTGTCTTGGTTGTTCATGGTGTTCTCAGGAATCTTCTCCAACATGAAAGTTAAAAAGCATTAATACTTTACTTATACTTCTTCTTCAAAATCTTCAAAGTTCAGCTTTCACTTCCATAAGAGTATCACAGGGAACACCATGGGTTACATTGTCCTGATTCTTATAGTCTCAGACATATCACAACATCAAGACTTGTCTACCAGCTAATAAACAGGGCATATTTATTGACTGCTTGATTCTTTACCGTTGATGGTTCATCCTAAAAGACAGACATTATCTACCTCATTGTGTATTCATTGTCAAGTCTAAAGCTTGGGGGGTGGTGGTGGTTGTATCTTCCATTCTTAGTTTGATAATTTTAATATTTAATTTTAGTCCATTTTTTTTCCCATTGTGCTCCTTGATTATGCCTTTTTAATTGAAAAATTATTATGGAAAAATTTCCAATTAAATTTGCACACTGATTAGAGTAAGCACACCCCCAATTAGCTCAGCTAACAAATCAAAACAAAAGATAGCTTGATGTTTATTTATTGTGTGTGCATGCACTTTTGAGTCAGCCTCGACTCCTGACAACTCTCTGGATAAGTCCATACAGTTTTCGTGGCAATAAATATGATGTAATTGGAGAGAAATGGTATTCAGATAATGCTTTGAAGTGAAGGGCGTTAAAGGTTAAAACCAACACCTTGAATTGGACTCAGAAGCAGACTCTCACTCAATGACCAGGCTCAAATTTTCATCTGTTGGACACCTCATGTGAAGACCCAACTTTCATGATGTAATGCTGTGGAAAGTGGTAGGAAATAGTGAAAGAGTGACCAACCACAGGGAGAATTGACTTGGTTACAGTAACAATGAACGTACAGTTACAAGACTTGAAACTATAAGTTAGGGAAAGCATATTCATGGGGGGAAAAATGTGGTCACAAAGAGGTGAAAAGAGCTTGATGACACATAATCAATCACAAAACAGTCATATACCTTTATGGAGTATCCACAATTATTAGAATTTGCTGAGCTCAACATCTGAAACAATGAGCTATTGATCCAATCAATTTTCTAGATCTTAAGCATGCCATTGAAGTTGTTTGGCTTCGAGGGACAGGTAAAGTGTAATATTCTATGTGACTTCCCATTATTTTATATGCCAAGAGTTTCTTACTTCTTTATGGAAAAGAAAAAGACGCCAAGAAAGAAATGAGTAAGAACAAAGAAGGCAGAAGGTTATGTGCCATAATTCATTTCTTTCTTTATTTCATCAGTGTTTAATTCAACCCAATTCCTTTTAAGAGACACTCACTCTTTCAGAGAAGTATTGAATTGACTGAAGTATACTTTTCTGATTCTAATAGGTCATAAAGCTCGCTTTTGAAGAATTTGAGCTGGAAAGAGGATATGACACTCTTACAGTAGGAGATGCGGGCAAAGTGGGAGACACAAGAACAGTTTTATATGTGTAAGTGCACTGCATTATTCATTGGAAATTCTATTTTGCTTCTTTTTTCCAATTATTTAGACTACATAGGCAATGATTTTTTGTCCCAATTGTATTATCAGTGAGTTACAACATTTCTGTAAATTCAACAGAATCTTTGCAAAATCACAAATACCCCCAGTACTTTTCTAACTTTGCAACAATCAACTCTATTGTTTTTCTTCTGAAGTCTGACAGGCTCCAGTGTCCCCGATCTTATTGTCAGCATGAGCAATCAGATGTGGCTCCATCTACAGTCAGATGACAGCATTGGCTCGCTAGGATTCAAAGCTGTTTATCAAGGTATGTTTCAGATTGAATTAATAAATGAAGTTATTTTGAGAAGATGCATAAAACTAACACATAAGAAGTACTGCTGCTAAATATTCAGGATATATATGTATGTGTGTGTGTGTGTGTATATATATATATATATATATATATATATATATATATATATATATATATA